CTGGATCCCAGCAACTGGGATTCCTGACTCTTCTCCAGAGAGGAAAGGGAAGGGAGGACTGGGATTCCAGCCAGACTAGTGTCCCCTCTGGGAGGCAGCAGCAAAAAAGCTTTGCCAATAGGCAGAACTAGACTAAGTTAACTCTATTGTGTATTTGTGGGCTAGAATGTAAAATAACTGTATTGGTACTGCGGTAAGGTGATAACATGGGAGAGTATCTTGAATGTATTGTTTTTGGTATGGGAGATATGGGGTGCAGTATGGGGGCGGGGGGAGAAGCATAAATTAATTGTATGACAAGAGACAGGGCTGGCCTGTGCTAATTGTACTGGGGCTGGCAGAGAGGCCGAATTAATTATATTAGAAGCAGCCTGGCTAGGTTAAACTCTATTTCCAGCCCCATTTCTCAAGGTGTCCAATGAGAGGTCCAGGCAAAGATCCTTTCCATAAATTCACCAGTTTCCAAGCACCCTGGGCAGGGATCAAGCCCCCTGCAATCTGTAATAGATTGCAAACCTGGTTTTATTTTATTCACATAGTGTGAAACTATCCTAAAAAAAAAAATCTCCAAATTAGTTCATGTTGTGCTGAACACAACAGAGGTGTTCCACATCAAAACCATTAGTCACGTGATTCATTGACCTGTGCCACACATTGGTAGCTTTGCTTTCCTTTCTTTACATATCTTTCTAACAATAGCTAAGGAAATGATACATATTTTGAAGGATGAGTTGGTTTCATAGCCTCCCCCAACCACTTCTTTCTATTCTGTTCTTAACTCTCCTCTCTCACTTTACTACTATTGTTCTGAATGTGTCATTAAGGAAGCACCAACAACAGCAATGTAGAGGCACAATGTGATAACTAAAGGCCAGAAGCTGATACTGGGAGAAAAATGATCAAATGAATTCCACTCCATATACAGTCACCTAGTGGGTAGACAGTACTTAAGATGTTTCACTGAATGTTTGCCTTGGTCTACTTTGTCAAAATTCTATTTTATTGGTTTAGTATCTACACTGCATGTATAGTTTCAGCTCTCATTCTGGTATGTGCTATGTGACCTGCCAATAAAATTAGATAAACTTCATATCCTTATATGCTTATCCTTAAACTTAATGATAAATATAGATATTTATCAAGTACTTTAATAGGGCATGTCTGTGGGACATCTACCTAAAAATGTCTCATTTCAGAAATCTTACCTGGAAACAGTTTTTGAACTTCTTGCTGACAAAATAGAGAGCTATAGGGTTTATACAAGAGTTCATGGTTGCCAGGTTAATGCTGATGTAATCCAGTGGCAACAAGAAACTAGGCAACAAAAAAAGAGAAAATAATTACAACTCTTCACACATTCTAAGTGCATAAGCATCACACATGGATAATTTTCTCTGATGCAAATGCCAGTTTTCTGTAACTAGAAAAGGCCAGTCTGAAATAACTAGTCAGACACTCCAGTTTGGAAAAATGAGAAGAAGGTGAATATAATGGCAATGAGCCAAATTCTGCTTTATCATTTAATCTCATTGAAATAGAAGCCCCTAAAGCTGAAGGATACAGCGTAAAGATCATAAAATGGAGGACTCAGCACATACAGTCTTCTAGTGTCTGGCTCTGACTGGTTAAATTACCAGTTCTCACAGTTGCATGCTTAATCACATTAAACCTCCAATAACATATCACCCTATCTTTTTTTCATTCTAAATGGGTTGAAGTAAGAAGTTGCAGTACCTGAGCAATTCACATCTGTTAGGGTCCCTTTCATTGTACACCATTTTCTTCAAAATTCGGCTCAAATGGAGAGGGAACCAGCAAAGGGCAAAAATCACTACCAGGCAGAAAACTGTCTTAGCAACTTCTCGACGCTAAGGAAAAAAAGCAAATAAAAATATATTTGATATATATCAGTCACATTGCTAGGGCAGGGAAGTGACAGTCACACAAAAGTAGTCACACTAGATAAAAACATACTCTTAAGATTTCTCTTACCTAATTCTGCAATCTTTGTTCATGCAAAACTCATGATTATTCAGGGACAACTATTACATTCATTGGGAATTTTGCATGAGCAAAGACTGCAGGCTCAGATTGTTTCACTTGACTCTTATCAATGCAGACATCATACCCAACAGGTGTGGGCTAGTGAAAGGAATTGTGTGTGGGGTTGAGAATAGAGGTGTTGCCTCTGCAGTTGCCACTAGAATACAACATGCACGGTAAGCCTCTGTTGTTACAATTTTCAGCCACATAACTTTAGTTAATCTCCAAATATGACTTAATCTTAATTATAGCTTCTTTCTTGTAATAGCAGTTATATCAGGTCTTATATTACGATAACTGATTTCTGTCCCAAGCAAATTTCTGTCCCAAGCATGGCTACAGCCAAGAGCACAATTAAGTGTTAATGTGGAAGGGGAGAAAGTGTGAGAGCAAAAATGGAAAGTAACCCACATTTTTATAAACTGAGGCACAAATACACCTTGGCTAGGCTTTGGGAGTCATGGGGTGGGAGAAATTTTCTGTACCAGTATCTCCTTTGGCCCACCTGACTATGGCCCTGCACCCTTTCAAGCACAGTTGTGAAGGGTGCTCATACAGAGTCCACTTTGTATTATGAAGGGGTATACACAGTGGGACTCACTCTTATGTACAGAGATTACACAGGGGTTCAGCCTTTAGAGGGTTATTCGCAGCTGGGGACAAAGAGATAGGATTGAAGGGCATGAGGTAGCACTTGCAGCTTCCTCTCAGACCATAGATGCAGAGTTTTAAAAAGGCAGCCCAGAAAAAAGCTGCAAACCAAATAAAGTAAGATCTGTGACTGACTTTGCACAATAATCAGTGTTTACATTAGACTTCCTTTGCCATTCAGGGTTGCAATGATGGGAGCATTAGTGTAAACAAGCCCTTGGTGTTTTTATCATTTATCTTAAACTATTCAGAGCAGGACAAGATAAGAGTTTGGTAAAAATGCTGATGGTGGCCTAAACCTTGTGCTCGCACTGTTTCTGCCATGAGTGCACTAAAGGGAGATTTCCCAAAAAAGTCTAGTACAGACAAAGTCAAAGTGTTTATAACCAGGATGCAATACCTCTTTCTTTAGCTCTTTTCAGGAAATATACAATATTTAGCTGTAACTAAAGCATAAAGGACCAGCAGAGCCTTACGTTTAATAGTAAAAATTCACAAAACAAAGCTTTATAGCAGGAATCTAGGGAATTTAGCCAGTACAGATTTAAGGGTAAAGAGCAAGGCTGTCAGACTTTCATAGAAAAGGAAATAAACTCTGGTTAGTCTCTTGAACATGCAGTCTCCGGTATCTGCCCATTCTATAAATTACTCTTATGTTCTGGGTTTGGTTGAATACCTCAAGGTCAAAAGTCATCTATTGCCTCATTTTCTAGTCCTGGAATTTATTTTATTAAAACATGTTTTGAAGTGTTTATAAACCAACTTTCAGACACAGCAGCGCAGTTTTCCAGACCGTGGCTTTCCTAATATTTACCTGCTTAAGATGTTCGCTGAGGGCAATTCTCAGGTTGCTGTTCCTTCTGTTTAACATTTCACAAGTCATTAATGTGTAAAAGACAGCAGTGCATGCTAGTGGCACACAGAAATAAAATCCAAACAGCCACCAGTCCTTGACATTTTTGTAAAACTGAAGATGAGAGAGAGGGGAAAAAAAGGAGGATGAATTTTTTTCTAATGCAGTGCAATAGACAACAGAAATATAAGTGAAAGAGTGGTGGTTGATAGCAGTTTTTCTGAGCCTATTAACTGCAGTGAACTTGATGCATTCTTGTACCTTCTAGAGTGTTTGTGATGGAGTGGAATTCTGACAGTTTGCACAAGATTCTTTCTGAGGCACCATCAAGGCATTTCCCAGGGAACAAGATAAATATATCTAAAAATTACTCCTGACTTACCAGATGTTAATTAGCTCCAAGTTTTAAAAGGTTAGAATTAGCAATAAACCTGTATTGTAATCTCTGTGTGACTGAACTCACCTGTTATGACTAAATGGAAAAGTTATAAGGTATTCTTTTACCAGGGATTGTGTATTATTCCCTTGATTACCATGCTATTTTTTTTATATCTAATGTAGAGGAATCGTGGAGATGACCTTTAGAGACAAAACAGACATTTGGTTGTAGTATAAACATTCCATTTTCCCTGGGGATAACCTGTCTATAACTTTGTTACAATCTGTCTCAAGTCAGAAATTGTTGCTTGAGTAAGTGCTTGCTGGGTATTTATAGTCATTCATGCAAATCAGCGCTCAACACTTACCACACAACTGATTTGCCGTATTGAAACAAACTGCAGGTTGACTCCTAAATCCCAATTCCACAGCCCCCCAAATGCATATTAAACCTCTAGGATAGCAAGTCTTCATAAGAGCCTTTCTCAACAAAAATAATTTACCTTGTAAGGGTCCGTAAATGTTTTTTATTCCAAAATGGGTAGGTTAAAAATGTCTTGTAAGTGTAATTACCCTCAGCTATCAGTGGATAGATTACTAGTTGGTTTGCTTACGTACTGAGTAGATAGAGGCCACTTAATATGTGCTTGTCTGGAAAATGTGAAGGTTAGGACTAGCTGCTTCCAATGGCTTCAGCTTCTGGTTAGTGTTAACCCTTTACTTGGGGTGCCTGTTATCTGACTTTCATGGTGGGAAATCAGGCTCACTAATAACCTTCTGGTATTTTCTTATTTAATTTTAAACTGCTGGTAGAGATTTAGGAGCCATATTATATTTGACAGGGCATTTACAATTTTATTCCTCTGTTGGCAGCTATATTTTCAAACTGGAAGACATGCTGTATTCTATTTTCCTTTTTTAAAGAAGAGCTGTTTTAATTACCACATTGTCTATTGAAATATGCAATTTTAAAGACTTCCTGTTTATAGATTATTAGTTGGTGTGTTGGATGTGTCTCTCATACTCTTTCACCTCGCTACTTTATTCCTAATGAATCTGAGCTTACTTGTAGCCTCACAGCTCCCACACCAAAATATCATGTTAATAATGGAGGATTATGTGACTCCTAACTACTGTAGAAAGATGTCAAGAGGTCTGAGATCTTATTTGTTTGATTCTGAAGAGGAACAAAATTAAAGCTATACTGCAGATAAATTGACCTGCATTTAATGAGGTTGATTTTTCATGAACTCTACCAATAAAGCCATAGATTACATGAGAGAAGCATAAGTTATACTAAGATAAAGCTTTCACTCAGGACAGGTAGAATGAATGGAGGGACCACTGATCAGAGGCCTGACTCTGAAACCTTTATGCATATTGACTCTTATACCAATATTCAGACTGAAGCCTGTGGGACTGTTAGTAAGAAGGTACTTCTCAGATAAGTTTTTCAGGACTGAATCGAATAGGACCTCTCCTCTAGAATGATTTTCAGTTTTAAGTAGGGTTTTAAAGCTCAGTGCACCCAGTTTCCAATGGATTTTCCCACTAGCTGGGATATAAACATTGGTGAACTTACTCCTCCTCCTGTGGTAAAGTCCAGAGCTGAGAGGTGGTATTGTGAGGGAGGAGTAAAGGAGATAGTTGAGGAGGAAATCTCAGGGGAACAACTTTACGTTCTAGATGGGACCTCATAGGAGCACACCTAGAAAAGCTGCTCAGGACATATGATGAATCAGCACACATCCTTCATGCACTGGCCAAAGCCCCTTCCTCATCTGACTTTCTGAATTGTGTTGATTGGTTCTTTTCTCGTTACCATCATGTGGAGGAGGGGATTGTGAGCTCTTTCCATAGCTGTATTTTCTATGGGCAGAAATTCCACCATGAGGGATGCACAGCCTGGCTTCTGGTAGCAGAAACCCAAAAGAAAGGCAAGCCTCACATTCTGAAATATTTTCGCTGCTTGGGCTGGGCAGGTGTAGATTTCCATTTGACACCATTGTTGGCAGAGAGACAAGGACTGAGGAGACAGAGGGAGAATTATTTCCCCTGATACAGGATGTTCCTCCAGATCATTCTTGAAACATCTTGGTGTGGGAATGTAAGGAAACTTCTGTGCTATTATCCATGGTGGACTTGTTCTGTACAGTACTCAAAAGAAACACCTCACTTTCTACAGTTGCCTATCAAGGACCTCTCACAAGCACTATATGAGTGTGATAACAAAAACTTCAAATGAACAACCCCCACACAACCTGACCAACATGTAGGCTCTGTATGAAGCACTTACTTGGTGACATGTCCCAAGTAATAAAACCCACAGCAAGATGTCTGTAAATGATTAATTAAAGGATCTGAACTGCAAGAAACTTACATCAAAGTGCCAAACTGGGCTGATTTAAGAGAAATAGGCATCCTTTTGTTTGCCTTGTAACTCCACATGGAACTAGTTTTCTACAGGAAATGTGCATTTTAAACATGTTTCCTAATGCACTCAGCCTCCTGGGATTCATGTCCTAGCATGAGTCTTTCAAGTCTTTCAAAGGATAATTCTTTAAGGTCAGATTTACTTTTATTAGCTGCAGCTGAATGTGGGGATTCATGACTAAAAGTTAATATATTTATGTATGATTCCCAGATTTTAGTAGATAAATACAACTTTGTTTCACTCTTCAGTTCAACATCTTGCAAGTGTCTGTATTCTAAATGGCTTATTGCAAAAGAAGGAACTTTGATTACTTTAATGTTATACACACCGTTATAAACTTGTTTGTATTGTTGAGCATGCAGGTAACAATCTGTTCATCTTTGTATTTGAAAGGTACCATGACAAAACCAATTGCTTCCGGAATAGCCAATATAAAGGAGAGAATCCAAATGGAGAAGATTTCAATAGCAGTAATCATGGGGATACCAATTCCCTGAACACGACTCCAGGAGGCAACTGCTCTGTACCTAAAATAAAGAGATAAACATGATATTTCAGCCATTGGCCTATTTTCTTTTTAAAATCTATAGCTCTTGGGTTGTTTTAACATGGCAGGGATAGTTCTAGATTCTTTGAACCCCCTCGAGAGAGAATCTTAGATCTATGTTACCTGTGTAATGACAGAAGATCTCACTCATCCAGGAAACCTACCCCCCATAGGCCACCAGCAACATTGCATAACAGATCAGGAGGCTGGTGGCAGACTGCTAGATGCAAATGTTTATACATGGCATCACCATATCTGCAGGTAGTTAAATAAATGTTTTATATCCAGGGTAGGGTAGGGTTGTCCATTTTCATAGACTAAAATACTGACCAAAACAAAACCAAAAAACTTCTCAAAATCCAAGCAGGAAAATATCTGTGGTTTTGGGGGTTTTTTTTACTCTGCTTAAAGTGCCATCTTTCATGTATTTTAAATGTTAAGTTACTGGGCTTTATAGAATGGGATAATTTCTATCCTGGTCTCAGAATACAAATAGCTGGGGTGAGCGTTAGTGCTATTGGCAGTACGTCAATTCAGTCTCAGTACCCACATCATTTTTCCTGTGAGAAACTGAAGCAGAGGGTAACAGAGTCTGAAAATAAATCCATGCTAAAAACTACACTTTTCCCTATAACTTAATCCATTTTTAAAAAGGTTATTTTTCAGCAACAGGCCGTGGTTCTCCAGCAGCAACAATTCACATGTACTTAGCCTTTGTAACAGGTTAGCAATGTCAAAAGCTGGACTTCAGCAAACAGTATATTGTCCCCATAATAATCTGGAGTGGCCTGGTGGGTAGATTTCTTTAATCTAAACAGTTCCATTTTTGCAAACTATTTATGCTTTGTTTGTTTGTTTTTCTTCCCAAAACAGTAATAAATAAATATAAAATAATAATTCCAGGCGGGGAAGTATGGATTTATTATATTGTCTGTTGAAGAAGCTTTTTCTGAAGTTTGGGAAACAAAATAGGCATCCTAGAAATACAGTTCTGTCCTTCTCCTTATGCCATAACTTGGGGTATACACCACTGAAACAGTAAAAATTCCATGTGTGTCATTATAGGGCTTGTGGAAGTTCCATGTACAATCTCATTAATGAGATGGTGGACTGATGAATTTATCTCTTGCAGTAATAATTGGAGTTAATTGAATCGATGGATGCAGGATTGGGTCCTTACTTGCTGAGGAAAACTCTGTTCTGCTGTCTAATAGAATAATAATGGAGAATACAAAAGTGGAAGATGCAAAGTGGCCAGTAGACTATTTAGACTAGAATCTCTCTCTCTCTCTCTGGTGTATATGCAGGGTCAATTGTTGCTTTATACGTAAGCTCTTCAAGATATTAAAACACATTCTAATTACAATCAGATAATTTCTTTTCTCTTTTTCTGAATTTGGTGTTCTTTCTATTCTTTGAAAAACAGCATTGCCTTTCTGTTGAATTCTTAGCTTTCTTACAGTGGCGTGGGAACATTTTTAATAGTGGGGGTAAGGGTGCTGAAATCCACACCCTTTAGCCGGGTCCACCCCCCCAGCTGAAGCTGGGAGCAAAGCCTTGGCATGTGGAGCTGGTAGCAGAGCCCCATGGGGCATAAGGACAACAGCAGAGCCTCTGACACATGGCCAACACTTGGGACCCTGGCACGTGGGGCCAGCAGCAAAGCCCCAAGTGCACAGGGTGACAGCTGGAACCTAGTTCCCATGCCTGTGCTTTCCTATTATGTTGTTTACCCACTTGCTTGGTCCTATATCACAATGTTTAACCCTTCATGTCCTTTTCCGAATCTCTCTGCTTCCTTTATTCAGTCTTATGGCTACGTCTAGACTGCAGGCTACTTTCAGAAGAAGCTTTTCCGGAAGAGAAAGGAAAAGGGCATAGAAAAAACAATCTGCTTTTTCAAGAGATAGCGTCCAATCAATGTGGACACTAGTTTGCATTTAAGCTGTGATTAGTATGGATGGAGTGGCCACTAGGGCACCTGTGCTTTTTCTTCGAAACCTCTTCTTCCAAAATAAAACCCTCTTCCCCAGCCACACATGCCTTTTTTCGAAAGAGCTTTTTCAGAAAAAGTCTTCTTCCTCATACAAAGAGGTTTACCACTGTCAGAAAAACCCCTGCGTTATTTCAACTTTCTGCCGAAAGAACGCAATTGCAGTGTGGACGTAAGTGTAATTTTTCGGGAAAAACTGCAGTGTAGACATACCCTAAGGGTACGTCTAGACTACATGCCTCTGGCGACAGAGGCATGTAGATTAGGCTACCGGACATAGTAAAATTAAGTGACGATTTAAATAATCACCGCTTCATTTAAATTTACATGGCTGCCGCGCTGAGCCGACAAACAGCTGATCAGCTGTTTGTCGGCTCAGCGTAATAGTCTGGACGCTCCCCTGCCACCATCAAAGGTATTGGTTGACCACCCAGGTAAACCTCATCCCAGAAGTCAGCCAAGAGCCACGGCAAGAGGCGAAGGGGGGCGGGGCGGTGACGTACGTGGCCAGGCCCCACCCCTAGCCATGTACACTCGGCTGACTTCTGCGCTGCTCAGTTGGGCCGCCACGGGGAAGCAAGTGGCACAAGCGGCCGTTTGGGCCCCGTGCTCCACACGCAGCACAGGGGCTGGCCTCATGTCCCTGGCTGGGGCTGCAGTCCCAGGGGCTCGCCCTGTTGCCTCTGGTCCTGTTGTGCCAGCCCTGCTACCACCAGGGCTGAGCTCTCCACACCAGCCCAGCCCCAGAACCTGGCCAGTTGGGGCTCTCTGGTTGTGCAATATCCATGGTCCTGCCAGACCATGGATGTTGCTGGACCAGATAGTCCCAGATTTCAGAGGGTCAACCTGGATTCCAGTGTCGGTCTCACTAATACTAAATATAGAGGTAAAATCACCTACCTCATTACTCTACTCCTCTGTTTATATAGATGGTAATAAACATTATGTAATAATCACAAGTGTAGTTAAATCCTGTAGTTAAATACTATAAGTACTACCACCCCCATGTTACAGAAGGGGAAGCTAAGCAGAAAAGATAAGTGATTTGACCAAGGGCAAAGAAGGAGTTAGTCAGAATCAGACTTTGAATACAAATATTCCCTTGCTCTCAATCCTGTGCTTACTCCACCAGATCACACTGGTTCTCCTGCTATTGATCTCTTCTTTGTGAAAAGAGACCACCATGGCTTCTCACTAGAAGAGCCAGCTCAGCTGCAGCCAGCTGGGTGATGGTTGGAAGGATCTTTATGGCAACCATTAAGTCCTGTGGTTTATTGGCATAACCTTGCCCCTCTGCATAGAGCCTGAAAACTGGGCTACTAGATCAAAACAAGTAACCTGGAGTTAGTGTTCCACACACTACAGTATGCAGTAAAGGCTAAAAAAGTCCTTCTGCATAGAGGAAAAAATCCTTAATTTCACTCTTTATCTTCAGATCATTGTTTGGGACAAGGCAAGAGTAAAAGCACAGTGGGGACAACCGCCCTGAGTGACCTAAATTTTGGTAATATAGGTAGTACTGAAGACATAGCTTTAGTTACAGTCAGACAGACTCAAGCTGTAGTCATCACCATGAATCAGAGTTTAAAAAGGCCTGACAGGGATTTGCAAGAAATGTGTGTTCCCTTTTGAAGGACAAACATGTGGCACTGTCTGCCAGCCTCTAAAAGCCCTCTCCACATGTGAGCAGCATTGTTCCCCCTGGGCATAAACAGTTAAACTTTAGTACACCACTTATGCTGGCCCGTTTCTGTTTAGACATGGGTAATGGGTAGGTTTACATAATAGACAAAGCTAGGGAAAATTCTTGTAAAAATTAAAACTTTTCAGGGTTAACATCCCTGAAGGTGATTAGAAGTGCAATAGTGACCAAAGATGTGGAACATGGGCTCTTTTCTCATTAAGTTCTGCCATTTGAAATCATGGAGGCATGTGTAATTGACACCAACTGTGGGGCTGGAGGCATAAAACAAAGCTGTTTTATAAATGGCCATGTATAACTTTTCCTGATATTTGATTACGTATTGCTCTGGAGAAGCAGTTCTAAAAGCAGCGACACTTTGTCTTTACCTCCCTTTCAGAGAGAATTTTGCTGGAGTTTGAATCAATGTTCAGGCTTCTTCTCCAGTAAGATCTCAGATTTATTTTGTATTTTAAAAAGGCTTTTAATATGACAAAGGAGGTCCAAGGGTTTTTTTTAGCTTGTTACTTTTAAAAATAAATACAGTTTTTGTTTTGGTAATTTACAGTGCTAATTGCTTATATTTTACTGGAATACATCCATTTAGCGTGCTATGTGGTTTCAACAATTCCAGAGTTCTTTCTGCTGCTAACCCTGGTTTGGAAGTTCATAACAAACAACCTCTTGATTTGTTTTTACATATACATTTATTTTGGATGACAAAAGATGTCCAATAATCTCTGATAACAATATACTAATAGCTGTCATTAATACTGTTATTATACCGCAATCCACGCTTTTGTGCTTTGCATATGATCATTAATTAATTAATTTGGCAATAATAAATGAAGCCTTTTCTTATGTAAGTCATGCTTATTTTAATTATTCCCTGCTTTATCAAGTCCTAGTTGAAAATATAGATAACTTTGATTCATAATTTGACCACATATATAAGAAATGACATTATGTTAATGTAACAATGCCAGGCGTAAAGCAGCACCTCAAAAAATAATGTTGGTTTCGTTTTGCAACATGGAAAACAAGATGCACAATAAAAAATTACATAATCCACAATTGACATAGTAGTATCTGTCTTTGAAAGGGAGCTTAACATAGTGCTTTAATTCCTATTTCTTTAATTGAACACCAAAACTGGGGGAAAAAATCCTATAAAACTCCATCCAAATACTCAATCTGAGCACTGGAAAAATAATTTTATCTCCCAAATGATGTGGGAATGATACTTGCTTCAGAGTAAAACTTTTTGAAGTCGAAATGTGAGATCGTGAGAGAGTGCTCCAAGGAACAGCTCCTATATCAACACCATATGTGGAATGTATAGTCTATGGGCCAAATTCTGAGTACTGTGTTCCCATTAGGCCCTATGCTACTCTCACTAATACTGCTGTAAATTGTGAGTAACTCCACTGCAGTCAGTTATTACTGATATAATATTTTACAAACATTAACTAATTAATCACTCCAAGAACCCTATTCTTTTTCATTGAAATATAAGAATCTATCTTAGCGTGTTGTTAATTCTCAACATTAGCATTCTTCACCAGGGTATCAATATGCTCATTTTATATCCTTTGCCAAGAGCACATTATGTGGGGGGCAAACAAACATATAGGTGAGATTCAAAAGTAAAACTGGATTAACCCCAGTGATATAAGGAATTGACCCAGAAAGGCTAAGCCCAAATTTTCAAATGAGGGTGTCTAAAGTTAAGTACTTAAAAGTGACCACTAACTTCAACTTCTTTAAAAATCAGACCCCATTTACCTAAGTCAAATGGGACCTGTACTGACATCAGCAGGAGCACTGGATACTTTTTGAGTGAATCCCTAAAAATAAGGACACTTTTATTTAGGGGCCTTTATATGGATTTAGGTGCTTTAGGGACCCAGGTTTGAAAATTTGGGCAAGAGACATTTGTCCATGGCCACAAAGGAAGTGTCAGCCAGGGTTAGAATCTGGGGATTGCTTGATTCTAGTGTTGTACTTTCAGATCACTTCCCACAATAACTTTAGCAAGTTATTTGTCCTTTGAAGGGAAAAATGGGATTCTAGTTCAGGCATTTTTTTAAAACAATCCTGTAAATTGCCATACAACAAATCTTATATATTTTTGAGAGTATGTACAATAAGCAGACCAGTGGCATAGCCACACCATTCAGTGTTCTCAGTTTTAGAACAGTTACAAGTGAAAGGTCTCAGAGAACAGTGCCCAACAAAAGGATAAGAAATACTATACCTGTCCACACTAAGGGCACAGAGATTGAGGACTGTGATTCCCACTGATGCCTTCTGTATAAAGGGGAGGAATTTGCAAAGAAACAGCCCGAAATCAGAATCCCCAAAGGGCCACCGCTGAGCAAGAAGCTAAAGAAAGGACATAAGACAATCAGAAACTTTGAATTGCAATGTAGACAGCGAATACGTAACAGACGGTAGTAATGACCTGTCTTCAGACACAGCCCTAATAGCCCAACATTTTTTATGTTTAAGCATTTCTCTTGGTAATGAATGAAGCTGAGAGATAATTCAGACACTGTAGAAACATGAAGGAATTAAGGAGACAGTTTAAACATAAACATTCTGAGGATCCCTTCCTAAAATGTTTCAGTCTCTGTTACTACAAATAATCAAATTCAGCCCTGCCCAGATATAAGTGGGTGCAAAACCCCTTGTGTCTGATTTCACCGGGGCTGAATTTGGCCTAGAGTCTAGTATTCAAGGCATGATGCACTTGAGAGACTAACAAATATATAGGATCATGAGCTGAAGTTGTGGTGGGTGACAATAGAAAGGCTTGTGAGTGTATGCATGACTGACATCAGTATGGAATAACATTTCTTTCCTGTAGGATGTATTAACATAATACGTGAATAAATTGATTCATGTGCATGATTAGGGAGCCAACAGTAATCTCTATCCCAGCTGTCATTTATTCTTTGAACAAATAAAGATGCGTACACAGCTTTGAACCTTGTATTAATCACACTTAGTTCGCTTCTTTGAAGTAGGTTGTATTATAAAGAATCTTATATATACAATAGAAATATAATGCATATGAACAGGTTAGGCACAATCTGACTGAAAATCTTAAATGACACCAGCCTTGTTCTAAACATTGGCCAGTCACAGCGTGAACTGGGGCAGACTTTAGGAGAATTGATAATGAAATTCCAAGTTTCATGACATTTCCTGTGGATCTGCTAAGCACACAAAATACACAATTGTGGCTCTTCCAATCAAAAAAATTCTGGCATGTCAGAGTGGAGCTACCTCTGAGCAAGGCACAATGGTGAAAGATGGGACCAAGGAATCACTTTCTTCTGTTATACAGCTACACACAAATTAGCCAGAATATTGGTGCTTTTGCCTTTTAAATACAAAAGGAAAGTGTGTTAGTACTACAAGAGGGTCTAGACTCCATTATTGCTGCAGTTGTCTTTAAAACCAGGGAATAACCTTGTATATTAACTCTGCTACACTGTATTAAGAATGTTGGGCACAACATTTTTTTTTCCAAATGTTTGAAGTGACACTTTTCAAAAAAAAACTGTGGGGGTCTCTGATTACTCAGATTTGGAGGGATATTTTATCTGTTCAGACCTTTCATTCCATTTGAACATTTACATTTTCTATGGCCAAAGACATGTTTCTCTAGAAATCCAAACCCTTCCCCTCCTAAAGCAGACTGATCATGGGACTGCAAGTTCCATGGTAAACAACACTATCCTATTTGTACATTTTTAATAGGAATCTTTTCTCCTTTAACTGCATATAAACTATGTAAATACTGCAGAGAGGGACCCAGACCAAAAATCCCAGGTCTCAATACTCTCTGCTGCTGGAAAGGTTTAGAATATAAGCTTGGTTCTGCTTGTTGTTGTATTCTACAAGGTTCTGAGCATCTCACTTCCTCAAGAAATGCTCAACACTTCCAGATGTGATCAGTAGAGCAGCATACTTGTGTTTAACCAAACCTCAGCAGACAGAATGCTGTCATCTTTTCAGTTATTTCTCACTTCCATGAAAATGTACACCCCACTGATATCCTAATAGGACTTGAGTTTGAGCCATTGTAAATAATAATAAATGAAACGATTAAGTTTCACTAGCAATGTACTGACCTCTGATCCTAGCTGAACTTACAGAACGTATTTAACAAACTACAAGCTTCAATTTTGTAAAGGAATCATTACGTGCACAGGAAACATATTCTACCTATAGTAGGGTATGTTCTTGTAGGGGGAAATCTCCTGGAGTCTAGCTCCCACCCATAATACTCTGGATAACCCAGTTAACCCCTAGAAGACCATTTTACTGCAGCCAGCAAGAATCTATTCTATATGGAATGGCACTCTCTAACAAATATTTGCCAGGTATATATTTGCTTTTTCTTAATAATTCTTCTCTTGGATGAGGCCTTCAGTCCATTTCAGAGGCCAAAGAACAGCCGTTGAAGATGGAAGGCCTTAATCTGTAAGATTTTTCACTTCCAATGCTCCACAACATAATTGTCCAGCCAGTTATGGAGACATGGCTCCAACTGCGAAATTCAGGTCAAGGTTTGTCTAGTGTTTGAATTAGTGGGTCTAATGAAGACCCGCTAATTTGAACTGAGAGGGCGTCCCTGTCAGTGCCAGTACTCCTGCTTGTCATGAGGAGTAAGGGAAGTTGACAGGAGTGTTTGCTCCCATCGATCTCCTGCTGAGTGGACAGCCCAAAAACACTATTTAAGATATGTCAACTGCAGCTATGTAATTATCGTAGCTGGAGTTGCGTATCATAAGTCAACTTCCCCATTAGTGTAGACCAAGCCTCAGTGTTTAGATCTGGACCAAATAACAATAGCTTTTACTTCCTACTGCTGGAGGTAGGATTTGAAGTGGCACTGTCATGTGGGAAGGTTTGTATTGCTGTTATTAATCCTTTTAGCCATCAAGTCATCCAAACATTTATTTACCAGTAGAGTTAACACTTAAGAGTTAGTGGAAACGAATTTGTATTTTGTAGTGACTATCTGAAACTCTGCTACTACAAAGCAAACATTGGCTTCAAAAAGAAAAGTCTTGTACTTGAAAAAGGTTCATTTAGTCACTGGTTTTCACAATGAGACCCTGTCCTGGTTGCAGCATGTACATTTCCTCTCAACTCCCTAGGAATCTCTCCTTTTGCAAGATGAAAAGTATTTTATTTCTTTTGTTTCTTCCTTTCTATTTTTCCTTAGCTGAAGTAACACTACTATGGAATCATTACACATCCCTTTTTAAGTTGATTTTAATAAAGATCACTGGGATCATAATTAATTTATTTCATTTACAGACTAATTTTGCAGTTATTTTGGTGGGTAGTTTCCATTATTATTCAATCCTGGCTATGAATTTCTTACTTTCCTTTTAGAGTAGGTGTCAGGTTTTTCCTATTCAAATATCCTTAGAATCAGTAGATCTACTTGCACTTGCATTATTGTTATATCAGCGCAATCCAATGGCCTCTATTCTTCCAGTTTCCCAACAGGATACAAATAACTCCAAT